TCACTCAAATAAAATATATCTACAACGGATTTAATCAGTAATATACACTAGAGGGATTATTATTTCGACATTTGTGAAAGAATGTTCTGATCCCAACATAACAATATTTGCTGTCAAAATGAAAACCACAGCAGGATAGTCAGGGACCCCGGTGACGTGGTTAACGCCGTGTTGAACATTATTTCAGTCATAATGACGGCGTGTCACCTGCATGTTGTAGGAAATACCAAATTGATGCAGGGCGTACCCGCCTAAGACTAGTAAAACCAGTCTGCACGGGTGTGGTGCTTACAAATTGAAATTTCGAATCCAGGCACGAAAAGGACGTGACAGCAAATTACGACGGCATCAGGTGACAAGTTGACAACATGATAGAGCCATGACAGGGAAGTTTAAAACTTTATTCAAAACACATTTACAAGTGTTATGATGGAAAGCACCAAGTAATCACAAATTTTACACAGCCATGTATTCTTACAAGATTTTACAATCTGATTTATGTTTACAATGGTATTATACAATCATTCAGACACAGTGAAGGCAAAATGACAAACTATATTTATGTTTGTCACGTGTTTGTGGATATTGGCCGTGTTCAGCAGTATTCAATAATATCAGATCAGCAGACAACATTGTGACCATGCCAGCAATCGAACCCAACCCAGCAAACACTCTAACCACTATGATACCTGAAGGAAAACGTATATTCTTATACAATACTTAATGCATGTGTGAATGTTTGTCTGTAGATATGGAACACCTTTATCGCGAAAAACATCACTGGAATTTACAATGAAAGCGGCAAAATGTGACCCACGATTGAAACAGTCTGTACAGTTTAGTTAAGGTTTGATACCCCTGTATGCACTCATTAGTAAATCAATGGGATTATTAAGAAGGTATCAAATGAATACATCCAGAGCAGCATGGCACAACCACATCTGTATATATTAATTCTGACAGGCCGAAATAGTTTCAAAATTAATATGACAAATGCAGACAGGATTTGAAGCATGACGGAAACAAATGTGTACCCCAACAAAAAAAACCAACAACAAACCTTTGATCTTTGTTGTAGATTCCCAACCTATATGCTTTTTAAGAATGGCAGTCACATGTATACATCCAGGACAGCAACTACACCTGTATATGTTCATCCTCCCGATAGCGTCTATGCCAAATTTCATCTGACGGTTTAGGAGTGGAAATACAATATGGATGATGTTCATTTGTTTGTTGTTGAACGCCGCACACAGCAATATTCCAGTTGTATGACGGGGGTCTGTAAATAATCTAGTCTGGAGCAGACAATCCAGTGATTGACATCAGCATCAATCTACGCAAATGGAATACGATGACATGCATCAACCAAGTCAGCTAGCCTGACCACCCGACCAGGTTAGGCCTCTTACGACAAGCATAGTCGCTTCTTACGGCAAGCATGATAGTCAGTTGGCCACCAGCGGAAAAGTTAAGATTTTCGTTCCCACATTTTCCTGTATACCTTTTCTATTGAATAAAGGAGGTATCTGGATACACTTTTCATTGCGTAGTAAGCTTGCAAGTTTGTGCGTGAATTTTCACGGGGTCAAAATTGCATAAAGTGATGGAAAAATACATCATTTGACATTTTTATTAAGTCATTAAACTATTATATGCTGTTATATTAATTTGGCAAACAGTTTGTTTCATTTAACTGTAATTCTAATTGTCAGTGAAAACATTGATAAAAATCATGTTTTTTACTTCATTTGCAAATCTTATGATTAGGTAAGACACTAATTCCATTGAATTTTGGTAATAAAACCACTATAACTGCATATCACAATCCGCCTTAACAATTGTGCTATCCTATACAGAAAACAAAATGAAAATATATTAAATAGGGGCTGAGATATTGTATACAATGTTATCCCACCCCCTAAAAACCAATTTTGACGAATATTGCTTATATAAATAGAGATATGGTGGTAGATTATTCACACCTAATCGGGGCGAACCGGGATTCGAACCCACAATCATAGGTTTCTGGCGTGTCAAGGGACGCAACTCTGCACAGCGAATCGCGGCGCCACAGACGACTGGGCCACCCGTGCCCCCTCGTCACGCCGAAGACCCGGTTTCAGTGGTTAGGCAATAATGATAAATATGTTAATTGTGTGAATGGTGGGTGCTTACGCTTTTCGCGGACACCTGGTGTCATCACTGGTTTTTAGTGGTCCCTTCATATAGGTTGCACAGCTGTTTTGCCCTTTGTGCCAGATATCAATGTTTCGGCAGATTTTCTAGACTGTTTATTCTCGCGCACTGACAATTTATATTAAGTGAGGGACTTACATACTCTGTACAAAAGAAACGCACATGTGATTTGAGATGTAATCGATTGTTCGCAATTCCTCACATCATTGTCATTGTAATATTCACCCACTCTGCTTGTATTGCTTGTGCCAACTGTCGGAGGTTCTGTGGTTGTTGCTGACGCGTTCGCAGTCGTTGATCCAGTGCATCACAGAACTGTTCGATTGGAATTATATGCAGGGCCTGGATATTGTGACTCCCCAAAAAGGCTGTCGTCAGTCTTGTGTGGGGTCAGGCAATGACGTTCTCATATGGGACTATATTGTCCCCATATTGATGCATATTGGGACTACTGGATCTCTCACAACGGTTCAGCAGTCTTGTAATGGTGCTTGGTGCTACATGTTTACAGTCGCCCGATGGCGTTGTTGCGTTGGACTTCCGTCAGTCGTGGCATGTTTTCTTGTTCACTTGCTGTAAGATGCATGCAATTGACACCCAACGTTTTTTTAAAAACAAGTGCAAGTGATGTTGCACTTACATGTTATGTCCGTGTGTATCGGTGCCAGGCTCTCACGTGTTTTTATATTTTGGCACCTTTTCACCAAATGTCGGCAGTACCTCATTCTTTCCACACAAATCAATCCCAATCCATGGAGAAATTCAATAATGGTATAAGTTTTATATGGATGTTGGCCACACTCTGTCATATTTTACTACTTTGGCGGGTTTTCTTTGGCTGAGTATACTTGTGAGTGAGTCAATGGGCGAGTGAATATGTTATTTTTACGCAGTGTCCTTGTCATGCACAATACGATAAAGGACAGTCAGTATCCGTTGTATTTCAGAAGGTTTTCGTCATATTCCGATATAACCCTGAAGGAAAAAAAGTGCTGACGTTTTGATTTCACACAAGTAGCAGCACGCACAAGCGCAACCGTACAGTAAGGCATGTTGCCGTGTTAGATATACGACTTTGTCGTTTGAATGGGTTGGAGTTGTCACAGCACAACACGTAAGCAGCGAGTGTTTGGAAAAGACGAAAATAAACTAGTCAAGGATTGACGTGTATCTGCTATTATGAATCTTTTGGTTGGTTGGTTGGTTTGTTGTTTAACGCCTAATTCAGCAATATTCCAGCTATATGACGGCGGTCTGTAAATAATCGAGTCTGGACCAGACAATCCAGTGATTGATATCATGAGCATAGATCCACACGCAATTGGGATCGATGACATGCATTAACCAAGTCAGCGAGCCTGACCACCCGATCCCGTTAGTCGCCTTTTATGGCAAGCATGGGTTGCTGAAGACCTATTCTACCCCGGATCTTCACGGGTCTATGAATCTTTTGAATGGTAGGAGCATGTGTAAAGTTGCCAACATGCTGCATTTGAAAGAGAGAACTTTCACAATAACCTCGATGTGTTCTCCTTTGTCAACCCAAATAATACTGATGTCATCGTCGGGCGTCTGTCTGAAAAACAAATCAGCTCGCGATCGGAATACCTTCTGCGTTTCAAAAGGCAGCCTTCTGCATTAGCAATTTCGGATGACCTGACCCTCATTGTGACTCATGTGTGTGAGTAGGGTATAGATATATATTGTGAGTTTTTGAATTCAACAAATCTCTGTTCTGTAGGAGGGCGGTGCGGTATTCTTGTGGTTAAAGACTTCGCTCGTCACGCCGAGGACCCGGGTGCGATTCCCCACATGGGTACATGTTCTCTTCACACAAATATTGCACAAAAGCAGCATAAAACCTTTCTCACTCACTCATATTGATATGTGATGTTAAGTGGTTGAAGTTCGTTATATATATCTTTTCAATTACACTTGAAAAGGTTCGTCCCATGTGAATAGCTCCTCAAGTTTATTGTATGCCTACTATCCACCTAATAGTAAGAGTGAACATCGAAATGCTTGAACAATTCGAGCATACAGAAAGTGTATTGACATTTAAATTTCATCATCTCTCCCATGACGGATAAACTAAATATACACACCTTGACATGGGAGATTCAGAACCTTTGGAAAATCTTGACTTGCTTCATTTAGGGCTATAGCATGATAGTAAGGAGGTCATACCCCATTTGTTAGACACCCCAGCTGTTAGAAAGTGATCTCAGCTTTAGGAGGATATTTACAACTAAAGTGACACAGAATATTAACTGATATGCCCAGGCTTACATTATTTACTAGAAACAAGACATGAAGAAAATTTGCATCTGGATACAACTTTTTGTGCTTTGATCCTCTCCAGCCATAACATAGGTGCTGAACATAAGTCAAATATACCAATGGCCTGAATGTGTTTCCTTAAACAAAAATTGCTTACTGAACAGTTTCTAGTTTTATGTCCGCACAACGAATGGCATAGGTATTTGGGGGATGATTTAGGTGTTTACTATTTATGTCATTAGTCTTATGCACATGTTTTGGCCGTCATCTTTGTTACATTCTCATTCTAAATATCGCATTGGTACCAGCATAGGCCTTGGATGCTCCCTATGAGGCACGCAACTGCTACGATTTGGCATAACAGGAGTAAACATTCCAGTCAACCTGCACAATCACTAATACCTTACGTGGCTGACACCTTAAACTTGACTTGACCTGACTTGACTTGGCATATTCATATTTCTCGCAGCCACGAGAGCTGTTTTCAACACAAGTGAACGTTACCATTACCTCCCTGACGGTATAAGCAGTAAACAAGCTGTGTAATGGATACATATATATATATGTATATAGTGTATACCCACCTAGAAACAGGCCTATGCTGATATTTGCTAGCCGGGAGACACAGGAGCAAGGTATGTGATATGTCTGTATTCCCCAACAAATGAACAATCACTATTTTGTCGTCGCGATCGAACTGAAATAGTTTTCCTTAATTGGAACTATTACAATTTGTTTCTTTAATGAAAAACAGATGGCGTCTTAGAGTTAACCACCAACCATGATATAATTAACACAGAAGTTTGCTCCAACAGTCCCTGAACTTTATATTATTTCCCTTCCGCCTAGCCCTTACTGTAAGATTTTAGCTTATTTTAAAACATTGTATATCTTCAGTGACAAAGTTTTTGTTTAACTGGTGAACAGTGGAGAGAAGTTCCCATCACACTTGGGTCCCATTTTAATTTAATGGAGTTGCTTGTCTTTCAAAATTTTATACTTTGTTAGTTTACGTAAACATCTTCATGGAGATATACAATAACACAACTGCTTCGCTTATCTGTTGAATGAGTCCAAATATAACATGATAAATATCTCCTTCTAAATCGGTCTGTTACAGAAACTTGAATTATTATTATATAGTATGTATGTTTTAAAAATGTTGTATTCAAATAATGGCAAATAATGTAGAACACAATACATATTTCGACATTTCTAAATCTCTGTCATTATCAGCAATAAAAGTCAACACCACATAGTGTCATAAACTGATTTTAATTATGATTTATCAATTTCTTATTATGAATTAAATAAACTGAAATGAGAACAGATGTCACAAACAAATCATTTTCATCTCCGGCATTTTGTATAAGCGTAAGTGTTCGCGTGGGTACGTAACCAGAGATAATGACAACTTTTAACAGCCCATGTTTCGACACATGTAAAGTATGTCAAGAAATTATTGAGAATTTAAAAATTGTAATTTATTAATTTTTTTCACTCATAACTAAATGTTAAATGTGAATATTACTACAACGTAACTCCAGCTTCAAAGACAGGTCAACACTTAGTACTTTGTCAAGTCACCATGGGCAGCAATGCAGGCTTCAAGGCGCCGGGGCATACTACTGATCAAAGAAGTTAGAAAGTCGTGGTTCATGCTGTCCCAATATCAATCTGTTTATTTGTACTTGAGGCCTCAGGCCCATATACAAAGTATACACGAATACAAATTTTCCATCAAGGTGATGGCGGTTCATCATACTTATATATTTAATGATAACATAGTGTAGAGTAATTAATGATAACATGCTCTCCTCACAAGTGAAGCTTTACAGAATTTTAGCAAGTTTTCTACTATAGCTGGATCATAATCATTCATTAAATTAACAAAACATTTGGATGTGCATTTCCTTAAATATTTCTTTGGTACAAAATGATTTCTCAAATCATTAAACATGGGCATTTCATTATTATGTGGAATTCATCCTCTAGCTCATTTAAATTACAATTCTGACAGATGTGTTTACTTTTTTCAACATTTTTCCATCTTCCAACATTTATGTAAATTTTTGCACCTCCAGTTCTTAAAAGAGCTAAGTATCTTCTATGCATTAAATATGTTTTGCAATACACATATGGTTCAGCATTTAATGAAAATTTGTATTTACTGTAACTATCGAATCTTGTACAACGTAACTCCAGCTTCAAAGACAGGTGAACACTTAGTGTTTTGTCAAGTCACCATGGGCAGCAATGCAGGCTTCAAGGCGGCGGGGCATACTACTGATCAAAGAAGTTAGAAAGTCGTGGTTCATGCTGTCCCAATATCGGACAACCTCTTCTTTCATTTCAGCAATATTTGTCAGATTTTTTTTATTGACACTTTCCTTCATAAGCCCCCAAACATTTTCTATTCGATTTAGGCCAGGGCTGTAGCTTGGCCAATCTAATAATGTCATATTTTGGGTCCGAAACCAGGTCTGAGAATGCTTTGAACGATGTTTTGGGTCGTTGTCTTGCTGGAACATCCAAGAATTTCCCTCGAGAATATCTGTGTACCGCTCACTGATCATATTCCCTTCAAATACACACAGGGGCGTTGCCCCTTACACAGATATGCCACCCCATACGTGAAATTTTGGACTGTACTTTGGGCGCTGATACAAAGGTGTTTCAGTTTGTTTGGTCCAGAATGTTAGTGTATTAGGAAACAGCCACACAGAACTTTCATCGGAGAAAATCACATTGTCCCAGTTAAAATTCCTTTGCTCTAAGCACCAGTTCAACCTTCACTCCTTTTGTTCAGGTTTCATGATCGGTGATGGAATTACTCGACTTTTCTCCCAACCCATTGCATGCAGCTCAGTTCTAATTGTCTCCTTACAGACAGCCACAGTTCCTCTATCAATCATATCCAGTCTTAAGTTTTCTAAACTCCTCCGTTTGTTTTTAGAAACAAGAATACCTGTTACCGACTGTCAATTTTCTGGGCCTACCTGCGCCTCTCTTGTGCTCAATGCCATCTCCACTTTCAATATTTTTCAAAATACGATGAACAGTGGACAAAGGGATGCCTGTTCTACTTGAAATCACTTTAGCTGATCTGATATCCTTGTATAATTCTCTAAAATCAACTTCCGCTTCTCTAAATCATCAATACTGAGGATCACTGAAAATGACGTCTGCTAGCAAGTAAAAAAGGGGGATAACTCTTGACAAACTAATGAAATAGGATTAACTGAGTTGTCCCTCTTGAATGAAACCAAGCACTTGATAGCTGGTCAGTGTTTTTTATACTAGTTATGTTCTAATTCACTATGTTCAACCGAACATAAAACATTTACTATGACAACATACTCCACTCATGGGTAATGCCTACCGCTGTTAACAGGCGAGCGGGTTTATTTACAAAATCATACATGTAGACACGCGACTGTCGTGTTATATTCCATTCCAAACACCGACACTCCATATTCTCTAAGGTATTCTTTCTGTAACAAAAACGTACATTTTAATATTTTTGGCACATAAAACCGTTACGAAATACTGCAATATCCTTGTAATATCGCGCTTGAACACTTTATAAATTACTGCGAAATTAACTTTTTGAAAATATAAAGATAACTTATCTGGACGGTGGGTCTTCTTGTGTATACAAATCCATGTCCGGACTCCTGAATCACCTCTCTGTGGGATCACTCACTGAAAGAAAGCAACACCCTTCTCCGTGCTAAACAGCACTCAATGCCCTGCGGCAATTTTTCCCATACGGTTTTACCTGCCATTCGGCAACACTGCACTAACAGGCCGTCCAACACAGACAAGCATTACACTAAACATCTGATTACCTTTATGTGTATATTTTTAACAAACAAAGAAGACAACAGCTCGCCTGTGTGACGCGAAGGCCTCGAGTGGTGTTTCTTGCCCTCTCCTCTGAACCTTAAGCACGTGACGCCACCGCTTTCACGTGCACAGCCTTCTTCAAATCACATTCGTTACCGTATTTACCCCATAGTAAATACATTTATGTTCTAATTCACTATGTTCAACCGAACATAAAACATTTACTATGACAACATACTCCACTCATGGGTAATGCCTACCGCTGCTCGAATTAAAAGAACGGGTCCCTGCAGCAGATTTATTTCGACTTATTTACAATCCCAACATTGATGACACACTCAACAGTTCAGAAACATTGTCTTTGATATAACCGTCTTTGGCCTTATCTGACGCCCAGCGTCCGTGTCTCTTGAACAGTCTGTCTGTTACTCCGGCGTTAGCTGCAGCAGTCGCCCCTCCTGACCGAAAACTGTGAAGACCCACTTTTTTGACATCTTCACCAATTAGTTTGAATTTCTCAATAAAGATTTCCCTCGCTCTGGTATATGATAAAGGTTTCTGACCTTTAAGTACATACTTTTGTACAGATTTACAGAAGGAAAGTTGACGAAAAATATATTCATTGGAAGTTTCAGCAACATTTCCAGCAATCAGGTACCTGTTTAGCATATTTACTGGACATAGATCTGAGCCTGTAGCAGCGATCAAAACATGACGCCCATCCCTATAAACGTCAGTTTTACTGTTCTCAACAAAAATACTCATGAAGCCATCCTTGAATTTAATGTTTGACCGTCTGATATTCACTACTTCAGAAAATCTGAAAAACCCAGCAAAAGATAAAAGTGACATTGTTAAAAACCTTAAATCAAGTAGAGAGGGAGTTTTCCCAGATATACTAACCAATTTCTTTAACGTGTCACAAGTAACAGGTTCTTTTTTCTTGACTGGAGTACTACACGTTCTTAATGCCGCTTCTCTGATGTTCACAATCAAATCATGTTTACAAGGATCTGGCAGACATGCAAGCTTGTGCGCCCAACTAATACCGTAAATAGCTTCCATGACAGATGGAGCTTTCTTACCTCCCTGAACAAGTGATGTAAGATACAAAGCAACATGAAATGGATGAGCAGGCAAACATGTAATCTCCTTAAATTTTGAACTCCATTTTTTCCAACTATTATAAGATCTTTCATACTTATAGACTGTCGCTGGGGCCTTAGACTTGAGAACTAAATCTGGCATATGTCCTGCTAGATCAATAAGGTCTGTATGAACTAAATTGTTCTTCAGCTTCCAGATACCGGAGGAGAACATGTCTGAAACAACAACATTGATCTCATGGAATAATTCTAACTGCTAATGCGTAGCCATCGAATTTGTCAAACAAGGATTTCTTGCTGCCGCCTGAAAATGCAATACTTCCATTTAATTGCAAACTATCAGCGATATAATGTTTGAACTTTCCGTCATCAAAAAGTGAAGTCCAGAACACAGCTGATTGCCACCTAGGCACTACTAAAGTTATGCTAGCTTCACTTTGAAGAGCATATCTAATAGCCTTTGTTACCAAATGCACAGGGGGGACAACCCAGTTGTTATCATATTGCCATGACTGTGTAAAAGCATCTACTGCTTCTGTGCCAGGGCACCAAGATCTGGAATTGAATCTACACAACTTAGCATTATAATGACTAGCAAATCTATCAACAGTATGTGGACCCCACTTCTGGTTTAGCAACTTGAAGACAGCATCAGTAACAATCCAGTCATCAGCATCTTTAAATTTACTTAACGCATCTGCTCTGTCGTTCTCTGAACGTGGAATCCAGCTAAACTTTATCCTGATGTTATACATCCTAACCACGGTGAACACGGACATAGCAAGCTCCTGTAAGGATGAATTGAAACTACCAAAAGAAACAATTTGACAGCAAGCCTTGCTATCTGAGAACCACTTAACAGTCTGATTTGACAGAACCTCTCTGAAAACGTTCAAAGATAATTCAACAGCCTTCAATTCCCGCCAAGTTGAACTCTTGCCCACTTGATCCTCATCCCATAAACACTGAAATACCCGGTCAGAATTCTGTATATAAGCAGCACAGCCCTTGGAACTAGCATCTGAGAAAACGGTCAAAACAGGGGCAAAAGTTTCATAAAATCTTCTGCTATTAAAAGTGTAAACATTATCTCTCCAGAATATAAGTTCAAATACACACAGGGGGTCAACTAGACTTTGCTTTCTATCCCAACTTGAAGCTCTTTGTATTACTGAATACATGCGTCTAGTCAAAAGTCTGCAGACATCCCCATAAACTGGTGAAAGAGAGATAATTTGTCCTGTTAAACTAGCCAGGTTACGTGCTGTGAATTGCGGTAAACCTGCCAAAACTCCTGCGCATGTGTTTCTCACATTATCTAATCTCCTAGAAGGAATAGATATCACACCTATGTCAAGATTCCAATTCAGCCCGAGCCATTCAAGGTGTCTTGTGGGTTCCCAAACTGACTTCTGATCGTTACAAACAAAGCCTGCTCTGCACAAAGAAGATTTAACAAAACTAGATCGCTCCATGCCTAAGGCTTCAGACGAAGCAAACCCAAATCCATCATCTAAGTAAACTACAACATCTACAGAATGTTTTCTCCAGTATCTAACTAATGGCCTAAAACACTTAGTAAATATATAAGGGGCCGAGGTTAGACCAAAAGGTAAAACTGTGAAACAATAAAAACGCTGTACACCTTTAACTGACCAAGAAAAGCCCAAAAACGTGTGTTGACTAGGGTGAATATCTATGTGGTGATACCCAGACTTAAGATCAAACTTGTACATGTATCCGCAAGGTCTAACGAAATCCAAAGCAATCTTGTAATCCTCAAAGACTATCTTTTCTTTCCAAACATATTTGTTTACCACTCTTAGGTCTAAAATCAACCTTTTCTTACCAGAGCTATTAATAGAAACTGATAGGGGATTTACAACCTGAGGTAAGTCTACGACTTCAACAATACAGTTGTTTAACAGGAGATCCTGGATAGCCTCAGAGACAAAGTCGCTATGTTTTACAGCAGAAGCGTTGTTCTTACTAATAGACAAGGGAGGCGACTCCACAAAGGGGATGATGTAACCTTCCATAATAGTTCTAATGATGAATTCTGGAGCTTCTATATCCTTCCAAAATGAGATGTGCCTCTTAAGATTTTCCTTAATGTTATGCTTACTCGCTGACGTATCTGTTCTGTCAAGATAATTAGGTACAGGTACAAAATCAGTACTACTACCTCTGGTTTCAGGTTTGACTTTGTCTATGGGTGAAACATCAAGCTGTGACCTACTACTAGGCTGTTCTGATATTGAACGGGAGACCTGTGGCAAATCCATGTTAGTTTTTCTTTTAATACTTCTGCTTGAGTTCTGATCCCCTGAAACATATGTAATACGATCTCAATCAAGATAGTAACGCATTAGCCACTCAAATATATATGTCATATCTCAAAAGTGGTTTTGATTTACCTGAATAATCACTGCTTTTTGCAGGCCTCTGTAGGCTGAAGTCCTTGTGGTGGGTTGAAATTACTTGACTGTGATGACCTCTGGGCGGCTGCAAGGGGACATGTGGCTCTCCAGTGCCCAAAGGCTCCGCAAAAGTAGCATTGTTGGTTTGGAAGTGGTGTTTTCCTGGGTTGAAAACGAAAGGGCTGGTTCTGCTGAACCTGAGGGGCCTGTTTGGGTAATTCGCTGTTAGGATTGGGGAAAGTTGCAGAAGGATAAGGACTATAACCTCTACCACGGGAATTGAAAGAAGTAGGGCGCTTTCTGCGCTGTGCCTTACTTTCTGCTCTCTCGAAACGTCTCTCTTCATCCGAGTTTGAAGCCAACTCATCCCCTTCCAACTCCGAGACTACTGCCCAACCGGCTGTAGATCTGTCTGCAAGTCTAATGTGCTTGTTTCTTTTACTGATGTTAGAGCTAATTTCTCTCAAGACATGCACACAATCGACTGTGTTATCCCGATTGATAAACCGAATAGCAGAGTCAACCTGATCCAAAATACCAATGTTGAACTTATATTGTAACTGATTCCCTTTGAATCTAAACTGTGGAGAGTCAAAGTCTTTTCTAGCTCTCTTAATGACAGAATACGACCTCTGCTCAGTTTCATCAATAATTTCACTTTTGAAAGTTTTCAACTTACAGTCCATATATTGCTTAAAAAGTTGAAACGTTTCGTACCCTTCAACAGAATCCTGTGCTTTGTTAGGTTGACCAGGAATGTGTAGTTCTTCAACGGAGTCAAGATTTTCCTGCTGTGGTGAATCCATTCCGAACAAAGAAGACAACAGCTCGCCTGTGTGACGCGAAGGCCTCGAGTGGTGTTTCTTGCCCTCTCCTCTGCACCTTAAGCACGTGACGCCACCGCTTTCACGTGCACAGCCTTCTTCAAATCACATTCGTTACCGTATTTACCCCATAGTAAATACATATATCCACTTAAACATATCCCTAAAATTCTCAATAATTTCTGTTCATACTATATATGGTATTCAAAATGCACTCTTCAGAAAAAGAAACGCACAGGTTGAATTTTAGTAAATTTGTTGTACCTAATAAAGTCAACATATTTAATTTAATATTATAAATACAAATATGAAAGTTTGGAGCTCGATAGTCACATGTACAAAGGCGTTGAAAACTGTTCATTGTCATGTTACATAAGGCCACAAGGTTGCGCTGAACTCAGTATCTCGTGTGACCGCCCCGTGCACCAATCACGCCTGTGCATCATTCCTGCGGAATTCTGCGCCATTCCGCTTGTAACGCGTTGGCCAGTTGTGGGAGTGTCTGCGGCGTGTTCTGACGCTGACGTACACGTCAATCGAGTTCATCCCAGAGGTGTTCGATTGGGTTGAGATCTTGAGATCTCGACGGCCAGGGCAAGACATTGATGGTGGCATTAGGCAGGTAGTCTACTGTGACACGAACTGTGCGCGGTGGAGCGTTATCCTGTTGAAGCAGCTCCTTCGGGCGGTCAATGATTGGAAGAAGGTGAGGTAGAAGAATTTGATTCATGTGGTGATTTGCTGTCAAATTTCCCTGAACCGCAACGAAGTCAGATCTCGTGGTGTAGGATTTGTCCCCCTCCCCTACACCATGACACTACCGCCACCGAAATTGTCGACTTCACGTACACGATGTGGGGCAAAACGCTCATTTCGACGACGACAAACACGTTGTCTTCCATCTCGCCGGTGAAGAAGAAATCGTGATTCATCGCTGAACCACACTCGTCTCCACTTTCACAAATTCCAAGACTGTAAGGTATGGCACCAACGCAAGCGTCGCTGTCGATTTTGGATGTAATCGGTTTTGCGCAATTGTTCACATAAATGTCATTGGCCCAGGTTCCAAATGCCACACAAGGTACAGTAGATTGAAGGTAATCTGTTCTCAATATGTGGCATGGCCATCATAGGAGTACACATTTGACTGGCATAATCGGCCCATGGAAGCAATCAGATCCCGAATCGTGGTCTGTGGAATGTTCATCCACTCTGTCTGCATTGCTTGTGCCAACTGTCGGAGGTTCTGTGGTTGTTGCCGTCGCGTTCGCATTCGTTGATCCAGCGCATCACATAACTGTTCGATTGGGTTTATATACAGGAGCGGGATATATTGCGACTCCTAAATTAACGTTCGCTTGATGCATATTGGGAAGGAAGCGTTGCCAAAGAATCTCATACGTGCACCATGTCTGTTCTATCAGTGTAGGAAATGGCTGCCCACATCATTACACTATCATCACCAAACACTGCAAACACGAAAACGTCGTTTTTTTCCGTATATGGTCATTGGATGGAAAAACGACTAAAAATTCATTAAAATTGATTAATTGGTCAGCGTCTAGAAAGTGTCCAGAAAAGGGTCGAGTTTTTCAAGCGTAAAATGGACGGAAAAACGATGCTTTTTGCTCCGCCTTGTACAACTGTTAACGGCCAATCAGATGGCGCTGGTCCCCCGACGCACGTGATGTCCAAGGCTTCCTTTCGGAAGCTTTAGGTTTCGTATTTCTGGCATGCCTTGCTCTAGTATCTGTCGCGCGCAGTGCAGCGAGATTTGCTGATAAGCTAGTTTTAGGATATGTTACATGTTAATGGAATTCAGACACGCGCCAAGAAGTCAAACCAAACAATGTTACTAAGTTTATTGTGGTAACGGCTATGTACAGTTACCCCTATCGGATAATGGGTTGTGTTTCATTTGGTTATAACAATAACTAATTTTTTAATGTGAAGTTTACAAGATAAACGACTTGGACGCGAGGTCGGTCACATGACGTTCTTCACGTGACTGTATTCTTGAAAAGGCGTAAACACTGACTAATTCCACATTCCTGGGGAAAACCCATGGAATTCCCTGGTACGAATTCATACAGAAGCGTGGTTGCAAGCCCATTTAAGGATACCCTCGCTACAACCCATCCCAGAGAGAAAAAACACGAAAAAAAATCCAAACTGTCGCAGTGACAATTTACAGAAATCTATGAATTTACCTTAGTATCTTTTTGACACATCTTCACAATCACCTTTCAATGATCGGCCAATTGATCAGTGATGCCAAAGGGTTGAAATAGCCAGAGGTTAATTAACAACTTCGAAAATATCTCCCGTCACGTTTATCGTGTCGGCCATTTTGACGTATTGTACTTGATGTAAATGTATTACAACGCTCTGTCATTGTAATTGACTTACTGAGGTAATTCTGTAAAAGATCTTCTCATCTAATGAGGATATTGTTTGGAATACATTTCTTGTAAACATACTAAAACATATGTTCCTCGCTTTGGGGGGAACTATTTTATTCCGGGGTGGCCCATTAAATCGAGTAGTAAGTCAAGGCACCATGGGTGATCTGTTATTTTATGTGTTTAAATTACGATTTGGGGCGTTAATAAAATACACTGACGCAAGTATATTCTATTCAAATCAATTGGATAATTGAATATGCTTTCTTTTACATATTACATAACATCACTGCACAAAATATGAACAGTTGCAGTAACACACTACGGTAATCGCATTAAACATCATTTTCAACTGTACAGTATTTCAGTATTTCAGTTATATCATGGTGTATCAGACTGATGTGGGCTAAAAATCCGAAGTGGTTCAGGTCATCCAATGGGTGTTCGGGAAAAGGTGAGCGTATCCTGCCACACAAGTGGCACCCGTCACAAACACATGCAAGGACAAGTCAACTGTTCACCTGAACAAAGCACGGAAACACACAATGATGCCCGTCCTCAGTTTTACCGAGCATGTAAATTATTTGATCCGTCAAAAACATGGACGAGTATAAACAATATGTTCATTCACGTAATACATGTCATACATTTGACAAAGTGTATTGACTCGGAGCATTATTGTTTATCACAGCGTATGCAGTTGAACTCATCACCCATCCCATTATTGATAACCCTTCTTGAAGATCTATGAAATCAGAAACTGCAACTCTCTATCTTTTAACTGGCATGTCAGACTTCTATTTCATTACTCAGTTTTATTTGCACGGATTACTATGGAAGGGACATTGCCTCGTTGTCGCATTGTCGCATTGACGCCTTTACAAAAACAAGCAAAACGCGTCAAAATTAACAAAAGCGCGACAATTGGCCATTTGTCGCATTGTCGCGTGTTCGCATTGTCGCTCTTTGATTATCCTTTTCTTTATTTTACAAAAGGGCGACGATGCCGTAACGCGACATTTTCAAGGTCAAAATATGTCTCGTTGTCGCATTGTCGCCCCATCACAAATGTGTAAAAAAGGCGTAAAGTTCAGTTATTGTTACAGTTAGGAAGTTCAACCTGATAAATGTACGTCTTGAAATGAAAACACAAGTCCGTCCGCGAATCCATAACTTTTTATTGTGAGCTCTTCTCTAAAAGTGCTTAGTGTTCAACTCCCAGTTCCAAACACGTAGTACCTCCTCAATAATCCACATACCTCCAGTGCAGTGGTCTTCCGGAAGATCTTACTCTTGACCGTATTAGACAACTGACGAGTGCACGCCTGTCCTGTGACCTCGTTGCAACCCTCGTGATGTGTTTGCCGAAGGGAGAGGTGTAGGAAATGTGTGCTCCAGCCCAGCGCAGAGCTCGCGACACACTGTATACTGATGTATACAGTATATTGCAGTTGATATACTGTATACTGCATGTGATACTTATTTGCGGAAATGTTACAACTTTCAAGATTCAAGATTCAATTTGCATATATCTCATATACAACAGACCGCCGTCATATATCACTGGAATACTGCTGAGAGCGGCGTTAAAACAAATTGTTTTCATAATGGAGCGCTGCAGTCATTTAAAATAGAACCGTATACATATGTACATGTAGTACCAACTCACTCTATTTGTTTCGAATATTCAGCAGAAAATATATTATTAACCAGGTCTTGGGGAAAAGATATCAGATTTTTATAAGCAGCCACATAGGGATGATAAAGGACCCTCGCTGATTAGGTTCTTGTTTACTTAAGAGCAGAGTTGGCCATGTTAGATGATATAACCAAAATCCGGGAGCTCCGGCGGGGGGGCAAGCTGGTCTTGTTAGTGTATGGTATGAGCTGTGACGTTGACCCAAGAGAATAATGTAAAACATGAGACCAACTCAAGTCTATAATGATTGGGAAAGTCTAGATTTCCACAGCTCTAGTCTGAAATTAAGAATTGTTCTATGCTCCATTTTAATTGTATTATTTTCATTTTGTAGACATGGATGGACCAACCAGGAAAGAAATTGATGGAATATTAATATCACATGTTACCACTGATCCAGTTAAATTCATCACACAATAATAAATTAGTATTTGACATTACGGCATTTGATTATTAGGGCATGATCATGTACATGTTCACTGTAGTAATGTACACACCAGTCAACTTGATTATAATTTTTATCAAAGTGTAGCGCGGCATCAACGATTACTTTATGATATCCTCACTTGTCATCGATGTATTGACATCGAACAATGGACGGCAATTCGAAATTCTTATGGATAGCTTCAATAGGGACAGCGCCGGCGTCAGTACAATTTTCCTAGTTAAAATAAGTATCTACAAAATATAATCTGAAGCAGACAAGAACAATATTTTTTATTAATGCTTACTTTCATGAATAGAATTAAGGCAATCTAGGCTTGCCAAATCGTTCTAGACTTGAGCTGGATTCCTTTTAAATTTATTCTGTATGGTCTGGGAGACGAACAGGCGTCAGTATCGCATGGAGAACTGGGACAGCCTTAATCAGTGTAATCGGATATGTTGTGGAGTTTCGGTTTTGGGCTGTTTGCTGAACATATAGAATTGCGAGTTATGTATACTCTGTATTCTTTCGTCATGGTAGCATATATATTTTCTATGTTGCTTTTTGAATTATCCACAAATAATGAGAACTACAATGTAAACCTCTCTC